ACCATCAAGGTACTCAACAGCTAATATTGCAATGTTACTCATGCTATGATTATCCCACCAAACGAAGTTCGAGGGGGATATAGAAAAGCCGTCCGTCCATCCGGGCGATAACTCCAATACCGGTTGACGGATTTGGTTCAAATTTTATAGGCTTATGCCTTATGAGTGTAGGACCTCTGCTCGAGAAGGAATTTTCAATATGGTCGCTCAATTCAAAATGGCCGCCATTTTTCGCAAAACTGTAATCGTTGATAACTCAAATACACGGTGACCAAGAGTTAACAGTGCAAATCGGCCCGGTCGTGTTTTTTTTAACTCTTTAGTCGTGTTTTTTTTGAAAATTTGAGAGGTAGGTTGATAAATTTGGTCATGAAATTGCTGTCACTTGACTTTATGTAGAAGTAAGTAATTTATATTGCATTCCATACTATATATCTTAACTTCAGGTATTCGTAAACGTGTTATTTGCACGAATCGTATGCTATAGTCTTGTTATATCGGGAAATGAGCAATTCTGTCAGTGTTATACATATTTTTGCCTGAAAATCACTTGCCTGACTTGTATTCAATGAATACATCGATTCATAAGGAAAGCATTCACAATATGTGCGAAAATCAAAAGTTAGAAGAGCTTAAATAAGTAGCAATTGACCGAATAATATTTTTTAGATTAAACTCTTTAGACGTGTTGAAAAGATTGCGGTTAATGACGTTGACCTGTTAGTGAAACGTTCTAGACGTGTAGAGACATTGAGGTTTAACGATTTGGAAGTGGGAAACAGCACAATTAACATTATGTATTTCCCAAAAAATGATCTCAATGTGGAAGAAGTTGTTGTCTGAGTGACACCATCTTAATTATAAATGATTAACAATAATCAAATGTACGACATAATATGTCAAGATTGATCTATGGGATCACTACCGAATTTGATACTTAATCAAAATGGTTAGAATCAGACACGCATGGTTAATGCTCGTCATTTTGAAAATTTTACCAGTCATATTATTTTTTAATTGCCCTGTCGTTCATTAAATGGCTCGTTGCTATTTTTGAATTTGCCTCAAATACGTTTTAAAACGTCCCTATTGGCCTTAAACTCACTTTTCCCTGTCATGAACGTAAATAAATTTATTTAAAATGAGAGGAAATGTTTAGTTTGTGATGCTCTACATGTAAATGCATATATATGATCACCTAATGTAAGGAATAACTCCACCGTTATTAAAATCGTATGCTCAATATCTATTAGGTTTGCCTCGGGATTTTTAACAATTTGATTCGATGTTATTCCCTAATTCGCCTCACACAATGCAATACAATTTCAATTTTAATTTTCAAATTGCAATAGGTAAAAAACGCTACATATGCTGCTATCGTTCTATGAGTGATCTATGAACTGTACTGTAACATAGTTTTCTAGCGAATTAAATTACAACATCTGTTGATCTTGTTAAATCATATATCTGTCTTTTTTATTTATTCTTATTTATTCATATCTTGACTACAAATTACAATAAACGGGTGACACATAATGTATATATTCCCGTGTTTTATACTAATACATGAACAGATGGTGGGGATCTGCTTGTGTAATAATGCATACTATTTGTTTCTGGTTAATAGTGTGTGTCGCACTAGGCCCGCAAATTATTATAAAACCAACATAAACTATAAATTATATTATTGATTAAGAAGATACTTTTTGAGTTTTAACTTCTAGCAGAAATACGAGATAGTAAGAATTTAGTTTTTCAATTTATTTTAGTACTAGATCGTGGATAGGGATGTCAATTCTGAACAGATCAGTCGGATGAACCTTCTCATAATGTTCAAGGAAAGTGTTCTTATGAGCACTTTTGAAAGAGCACGCGTGGCACTTATTCCGAGGAACTGAAATTACAAAATATGTGAATAGTCATGTAGTACAAACACTTATCTTCAAAGTACTAATACGATTATTTTCAGAAGCACAGACAAATTATTAAGCAACAAAACATGGTCAATGTGAACAATATTACAAGACAATTCAAAGTCGTTAATTTTATCACGTCCAAAACGTTATCTTCACAATTCCAAAACGTTAACATGCTTATTATAAGACACGTCCATGACGTTATATTGTCCCTTCTCCATAGTTAACTCCACTTTCTACATTTACGGTCATTTATCGCAATTTTAAGATAAATACAGTTAAAATATTTATACGATATTTAGAGTAGTGAATATTATTCCACGTTGTTGAATGGATTGTCTCTTTAAACTTGATTAAATAACACTAAATGCAAATTAAGTACATATTTCTGGTACTTTTGGTATATAATTGCGATTGATATGAAGTATGATGGATTTATCCCCAAAATAGATTCGTGGGTATGAAGAAGAACATCTTAGGTAGAAGTCAAGATATGTAAGTTTGTAAAATATAGAATATTCTTACCATTTTGCTCCATTCTATCGAATGTCGCATCCCATGTTCTTACAAAACACGACTAAAGAGTTTAAAAAAACACGACCGGGCCGATTTGCATTGTTTACTCTTGGTCACCGTGAAATACTAGTTGATGGATTTGGTTCAAATTTTATATGCTGGTGCCTAGGGACAAAGGAGTTTCGCACAAAAAGATATTTTCAAGATGGCCACTTAATTTCAAAATGGCGGCCATTTTTCGTAAAAATATGTAACCTTTGATAACTCAAATACCAGTGAACAGATTTGGTTCAAATTTTATATGATGATGCTTAGTGACACAGTAGCTATGTTTCGACAAAAAATTTTCAAGATGGCCGCTTAATTTCAAAATTGCGGCAATTTTTCGTAAAAAACATAATCTTTGATAACTCAAATACCAGTGAACACATTTGGTTGAAATTTTATGTGAATATGCCTAGGGACACAGTAGCTCTGTTCTAGAAATAATTTTTAAGATGGCTGCTGAGTTTCAAGATGGCGGCCATTTTTAGTAAAAAACGTAATCTTTGATAACTCATATACCAGTGAACGGATTTGGTTCAAATTTTATATGATGATTCCTACTTCACAATGGTTTAAACTTACTTTGTGCCAAATTTCATGCTTCTATCACAAAGTGCACAAACAGTTCAACATTTACACTAGCTATAATAAGCATAATATGTTTTGTTCGGTGGGATTTGCTGCTCCGTGGAGTTGCTGTTTTTCTAGTTTAACAATGTACTATGATATTTCTGATGATCAGATTCAGTTATCCTATCATCTTATTTGGCTTATATCCATGATATTTGTATAATTCAACCCTCTCCTTCAATTTGATCAATCTGCAACTTCACCTATTTGTCAGAAATGATTCACATATAGCTCGGCAAGGTGTGTCCGATAACAGGCAATTCAAACATAGTATTTCATATAAATGCAGTGCATTATATAATCAATCATTGCATCAAAGGTCATTCCTTATGTGGACTGCAACCAACATTTATACCATTTTCAAGAAAACTAGTGTCACTTCAAAGAAACAATGGCATCAGACTGTTTAAAACATGAAATACCATATTCAATCTAGACAGTTAATATGATTTCAGATTGTGACATCAGACAGTTTAAAACACCGAGATCAAATCGTCAAACATTGATTTCAAACAAAGACATCAGACAGTTTAAAACATCAAAAGTCAGCATCATACCAGGATTCTAAGCAGTAAATAGGGCGGTATGAAATATTCAGATTTCTCTAATATTTTGAAGCTCTAAACTCTTGTTAAGTCGTGTCTAGTCATTCTCAGTATAGCCATTTGACAGATCGATTTCAAAATTTCAGGAATGATTCTTGATATGAAAGTCTAGAACTGACTAGTTTTTTGGGGAAAAAGTGGGGAATCCACTTTCACATGCATTTGACCCATATTGGTAGTTAGAACCTCATAATAGTGAAGGGAGGAAATATTCATCAATAAAGGCAATTTTAAACTTGTTAACGAGGTATAACTTGTGGTTGTTATTAAATGAATATGTCGTAAATTATGATCTTATGCCCAAATGTGCTTGGAAGCGAATCGTTAAATCACAAATAATGCAATATGAAGTAAATTGGTGGCACATAGTGTGTAATGTGTCAAGCTCACTCCGTCTATGTAAAATGGTACAAGTTTCGATAAAGCCATGCGTATGGTGGCACATTAGCCAAAGTAATTGCAAGCTCTTATAAATATGTAAAGAAATTGTGAAATTGTTAATGGGAGTCACGCCTCTCTGAACTATAGAAGCAACTGTCCTTTATGTGGAATGGCAAATGAGACGATAGTACATTTTTTATTAGAATGTCCTGAATTGTCAAAAGAAAGAGCTTCAATTAGAAATGTCATGTTCAGAAACGTAGTATTTCATGATCACAGTGTGCAAGAGAAGGTGGAAATATTACTTGGTAAGGCAGATCTCCTAGATTATTGTGTGTACAGTGTACATCCAAATAATGTTTTGCATATGCAATATGCTAAATTCAAGAGCTAATGCTTTGGGATGCAGTCCCAGTGTTCATTCATTGTATTATCCAGATATCCTACCCTATGCAGTTGCTCATGTTTTTGGCGTTATTCATACGCAATTTATAACAATGTCATGGGCCTATTTTATATTCTCATATTTATTTTCTTATTCTGTACATGTTGTAATTTTGAAAATTTAAAATAATTTATGTACTCATCTTTAAGGTGGAAATAAAGTAACATAAACATAAACTTGCCATACTGCACATGGTCTTTTGGCCTAAAATTTGCAATGTTACTTTCATGATGAGCTGATAATTATGATGAATTTCAGTTATCCTATTGTTTTGTATATAGGTTATACTCATCTAGGGTATATATTTGTAATTTGATACAGCAATTTGACCCACTTTCCCAATTTGACCTCTGTTTTGAAATTAGTACAAGGAATAGCCATGCTGCATCAAAGAGTGAAAGGAATGTGAAAAAATAATGATGTTAAAGATAATTTTGAACTTTACAATATGTGTATTTTCAGATCATATTAGAATCTTATCTGCAACCTTTGAGATTGTGGAGAACTCTTTAACAAAGATTTGAACTGATGAGTGAAGATACAATGTTACATGGTTGAAACTATAATATTGTCTGGTGTTTTAAAGTAAGTGAGTAAACTTTAAGTAACACATGTGCTTCTGAATCATGTTTTAATACAGACTCCTCTCAACGTTTATATTATTATATAATGTTATGGTCTCCATTCTTTTTTGTGGACAGTGTTCAATGGTTGGTGTTTGACAGTTGGTGGTTGGTGTTTGGTGGTTGGCCTCTGTAACAAATGGCAGGTGATGACATTTTGCATGCTAATGCCTCGTTTAATATTCAAATAGAAATTAGCGCTCATATAGATGGCAGGTCATTAGTGAAGTGTTGCTAACCATATACTTGCCTGAAATTCTGAGTTTTTTAAAAATTTGCCCAAACTTTTGAAAAGATTTCTCATTACTTTTGGGGTTTCAATCTTTTTATGTCACCACCAAAAGTGGTGACATATTGTTATGGTCTCCGTTTTTTTGCGACGGCGTCCGGCGGTTGGAGGTTGGCGTCCGGCGTCCGGCGGTTGGCGTCCGGCGTCTGTAACAATTTCTTACAACTTCCTATAACTTAACAAATACTGTTTAGATTGACTTCAATTTTTTTCTAAATCATCTACATGTTCTCAGAAGTTCAAATCTGACTTTAGATTTGACATTTGACCTTCTCAAGGTCAAAAAGGTCTTTTTTCAACTTGCTTCACATTAACTAAATTTTTTTTCAAAATCATCTACATGTTCTCAGAAATTCAAATCTGACTTTAGATTTGACATTTGACCTTCAAATCTGACTTTAGATTTGACATTTGACCTTCAATGACCTTCTCAAGGTCAAAAAAGGTCAAAAAGGTCTGTTTTCAACTTGCTTCAAATTGACTAAATTTTTTTTCAAAATCATCTACGTGTTCTCAGAAATTCAAATCTGACTTAAGATTTGACATTAGACCTTCAATGACCTTCTTAAGGTCAAAAAAGGTCAAAAAGGTCTGTTTTCAACTTGCTTCAAATTGACTAAAATTTTTTTTCAAAATCATCTACGTGTTCTCAGAAATTCAAATCTGACTTTAGATTTGACTTAAGATTTGACATTTGACCTTCAATGACCTTCTCAAAGTCAAAAAAGGTCTTTTTTCAACTTGCTTCAAATTGACTAATTTTTTTTTTCAAGATCATCTACATGTTCTCAGAAATTCAAATCTGACTTTAGATTTGACATTTGACCTTCAATGACCTTCTCAATGTCAAAAAAGGTCAAAAAGGTATTTTTTCATCTTGCTTCAAATTGACTGAATTTTTTTTCAAAATCATCTACATGTTCTCAGAAATTCAAATATGACTTTAGATTTGACATTTGACCTTCAATGACCTTCTCAATGTCAAAAAAGGTCAAAAAGGTCTTTTTTCAACTTGCTTCAAATTGACTAATTTTTTTTCAAAATCATCTACATGTTCTCAGAAATTCAAATCTGACTTTAGATTTGACATTTGACCTTCAAATCTGACTTTAGATTTGACATTTGACCTTCAATGACCTTCTCAAGGTCAAAAAAGGTCAAAAAGGTCTGTTTTCAACTTGCTTCAAATTGACTAAATTTTTTTTCAAAATCATCTACGTGTTCTCAGAAATTCAAATCTGACTTAAGATTTGACATTAGACCTTCAATGACCTTCTTAAGGTCAAAAAAGGTCAAAAAGGTCTGTTTTCAACTTGCTTCAAATTGACTAAAATTTTTTTTCAAAATCATCTACGTGTTCTCAGAAATTCAAATCTGACTTTAGATTTGACTTAAGATTTGACATTTGACCTTCAATGACCTTCTCAAAGTCAAAAAAGGTCTTTTTTCAACTTGCTTCAAATTGACTAATTTTTTTTTTCAAGATCATCTACATGTTCTCAGAAATTCAAATCTGACTTTAGATTTGACATTTGACCTTCAATGACCTTCTCAATGTCAAAAAAGGTCAAAAAGGTATTTTTTCATCTTGCTTCAAATTGACTAAATTTTTTTTTCAAAATCATCTACATGTTCTCAGAAATTCAAATATGACTTTAGATTTGACATTTGACCTTCAATGACCTTCTCAAGGTCAAAAAGGTCAAAAAGGTCTTTTTTCAACTTGCTTCAAATTGACTAAATTTTTTTTTCAAAATCATCTACATGTTCTCAGAAATTCAAATCTGACTTTAGATTTGACATTTGACCTTTAATGACCTTCTCAAGGTCAAAAAAAGGTCAAAAAGGTCTTTTTTCAACTTGCTTCAAATTGACCAAATTTTTTTTTCAAAATCATCTACATCTTTTCAGAAGTTCAAATTTGACTTTACAAGTTCTCAGAAGTTCAAATCTGACTTTAGATTTGACTTTTGACCTTCAATGACCTTTTCAAGGTCAAAAAGGTCTTTTTTCAACTTGCTTCAAATTTACTTAATTTTTTTTTCAAAATCATCTACATGTTCTCAGAAGTTCAAATCTGACTTTACATATGATATTTGACCTTCAATGACCTTCTCAATGTCTAAAAAAGTCAAACAGGTATTTTTTCAACTTGCTTTAAATTGACCAAATTGTTTTAGGTGGTGACATTTTGTCATGTTAATGCCTTGTAGATTCTGGGGTGTCTGATGAGATTGATACTTGCACCAACTTTTACATTATATGCTTTATTATTTCAGAGTATGAATCCAATCACCATGGCACACAGGAATAGAGATCAGTTTAGAAATGGTGCCTTTCTACAGCCTGACTACAACTGTTTTAATGACATTAATGACAATTTCCAGAATCAGTTAAGTCAACCGCAGCCTAGTATATTTGGTGCTCATGACAATTTCCAATATCAGCCTTGTCAACCGCAGCCTGGCATATTTGGTGTTAATAACAATTTTCAGAATCAGCCATGCCAACCGCAGCCTGGTATATTTGCAAATAACAATTTTCAGAATCAGCCATGTCATCCGCAGCCTGGTATATTTGCAAATAACAATACCCAGAATCAGCCATGTCATCCACAGTCTGGTATATTTGCAAATAACAATACCCAGAATCAGCCATGTCATCCGCAGCCTGGTATATTTGCAAACAATAATACCCAAAATCAGCCATGTCATCCGCAGCCTGGTATATTTGCAAATAACAATACCCAGAATCAGCCATGTCATCCGCAGCCTGGTATATTTGCAAATAACAATACCCAGAACCCGCCATGTCATCTGCAGCCTGGCATATTTGCAAATAACAATACCCAGAATCAGCCATGTCAACCACAGCCTGGTATGTTTGGTGCTAATAACAGTTTCCAGAATGAGCCATGTCAACCACAGCCTGGCATATTTGGTGCTAATAACAGTTTCCAGAATGAGCCATGTCAACCACAGCCTGGCATATTTGGTGCTAATAACAGTTTCCAGAATGAGCCATGTCAACCACAGCCTGGAATATTTCGTGCTAATAACAATTTCCAGAATCAGCAATGTCAACCACATCCTGGAATATTTGGTGCTAATAACAGTTATCAAAATCAGGCATGTGAACCGCAATCTGCTTATTTTGAAGCTAATAACAATTTACATGATCAACCAAGACAATATGGTACTGACATCAGTTCTCAACAACGTCAATGTCAACCATATTGTGGTACATCTTGGTCCAGTAAATGTATTCCAAATGAACACAGACAACAAAATAAATGTTCTAGTCAATTAGACCACATGCGTAATAATAGGAATATCAATGGTTCTTTTGCTCATAGGAATAATTCTGCCCATAAAGTGCTAGGTAGTGATAGTGCTCACTTTAAGTATAGTTCTTCCAACATGAAGCATGAAGCTAATTCCAGGCAAGAGTTACATAGTTCAAGTTTAGTTGAACACAGGAATGTTAGGAAACTAGAATTGTATCAAGGTTCAGGTGAAGTTAACAACAAACATAACGTTAAAGTTGTTAACAAACTGCAAAAGCTGGAGAATTCAGGTATAGTTGAACAAAAGAAAGTTAAGAAATTAGAATTGTGTCAAGGTTCTGGTGAAGTTAACAACAAACATCATGTTAAATTTGTTAACAATCTGCAAAAGCAGGAGAATTCAGGTATAGTTGAACGCAAGAAAGTTAAGGAATTAGAATTGTGTCAAGGTTCTGGTGAAGTTAACAACAAATATCATTCTAAAGTTGTTAACAAATTGCAAAAGGAGGAGAATTCAGGTTTAGTTGAACACAAGAATGTTAGGAAACAAGAATTGTGTCAAGGTTCTGGTGATGTTAACAACAAACATCATGTTAAAGTTGTCAAAAAACTGAAAAAGCAGGAGAATTCAGGTATAGTTGAACACAAGAAAGTTAGGAAATTAGAATTGTGTCAAGGTTCTGGTGAAGTTAACAACAAACATCATGTTAAAGTTGTTAACAAACTGAAAAAGCAAGAGAATTCAGGTATTGTTGAACACAGCAATGTAAGGAAACTAGAATTGTGTCAAGGTTCTTGTGAAGTTAACATTAAACATCATGCTAAAGTTGTTAACAAACCGAAAAAGCCGGAGAATTCAGGTTTAGTTGAACACAAGAAAGTTAGGAAACTAGAATTGTGTCAAGGTTCTGATGAAGTTGACAGAAAACACCATGATGCATATGAAACATCACTTACAGTATTTTACAAAAAGCAAAGGCAGGAATTGTCAAATGCCAAAGAAAAAACAGTCACAGTTGCACAACAAAAAAAGAGCAAGAACAAGCACAAAGTACAAAATACTGACAACCTTGTAAAACATGAAAAAGAAAAATCAACCAATAAAGATGCAAAGAAAGCAGAGAACATTAATCCAAAACAACAAATATATCATGCCAAGAAAGAAGAGACTTTGATCTCAAAAGAAGAATCATTGATTTCAAAACAAGAGCACCATGCTTACAGAATAGAGACAGTGAATGAACTAAATGAAAAAGGTTGTACCAAAACTAGAATTCCGAAGATAAAAATGTTGCAGGTTTCACATCTAAGGAAAAAGAATCGTATCCCATTTTCATGCAAACCCAACAATGGAAACCCATTATCATCACCTAAAAAGGTTTTCAGTTTTGCCATCTCACAAGAAAAGGGATCAAACACCAGACATAACATTCAAGAAAACAATTCTTCTATTAGGAATACTGAAATAAGCTCATTGCAGTTGTCAAACACTGGGACAAAAAACAACGTTGGTTCAAATGATCCAGACAATAGTAAAATCAGTAAAATTGTTAAAAGTTTTGAGAAACCTCCAAGCGCTTTTGATGACAGTTGGAAAATTCCTAGAACCAAAACAGCTCAAAGACTTCTGCAGTTGAGACAGAATCTACCAGATAGTGAGAAAATAAGGCTTAAATATGTTGGACGAAATATATGCCGTTTCTTAAGAATAAAGAAAAGAAATAACAGGATTCTCATAAAAAGAAACGCTCAGTCTCTTCAAACCGACCCAGAATGTGTTAAAACCAGAGAGAGACGTTCAAGCAAAGAGAAACATCCTAAAGCCTTCACTGGTTTAAAAAGTCTACCAAAAGGTGGAAGATCAAAAAACGTTAAAAAATCAATGATGTCTTCCAAGAAGTTTACAATTGACATGCATTCAAAGAGGAAACAAAGAGTAAACACACAAGAAAAGGGTAGACACAGGACCAGACTATATGAAGAAGACAGCCCTAATATTAGAAAACAAGTCAAGCAAACTAGATTGAAAGGCAAAAAATCAAACCAAACAAAAAGTAAATATGCCAAATGTACATCAAACATCTCAAATACACAGTCTACATGTGTTAAACAGATCACCACATCTAGTATCAATCTAACCCAATCTCCAGTGAGAGAAAGAGAGCCATTAAGTGAACCCATTAAGAACTCAAACCAGTTGGAGAAGACCAAATCAGTTACCAAAGATGAAGAAATGGATGACCCCATTCCAAAATTGAAGGAATCTTTATCCCATCAGGAAGATAGAACCAAGCTGAAAAACGAAGCCCATTGTTTAAAAGAAATTCCAAGTCCTATAGAAAATGTCAAAAACATTGATATTCATGAAGAGACAGAGATACTTGGTAAAGTTGCAGTTGCATTAAAAAACTGTTTTGATGATAATGAACTTACCTATCAATCCCTTGATGTCCCACCTTCTGGAGATAGGAGCAATATGACTTCAGGTGATCTTACCAGTTTGATTAGAACATATGATATTTCAGACTCTGAGCTGATCTCCAGGCCAGATCATGAAAATGCTCTCTTGGAAAAGGATTTTGAGACATTATTAGATGTGAATTCGAACACATTGGGAATATCAATGAAAGAGACTTCAACTGATTCAAATTATTCAGATGCAAAGCTATCTGGAGTTACCTTGTTTGAAGAACTTGAAGAAAACACAGACCAGCTGAAATTTGACATCGAACACTGTATTGATCTCCTGGATAAACAAGATATAATGTCTCCTTCAGATTCTGATAATACATTCCAGGTTAAAATACCTCCAGAATCTGAACCAGTAAAGTCCGATGAGCCACCTCTACTTGAAAATGAAATGAATTTGGAAAGTTCAAATCTCATGTATAATTCCAGACCCCCTACCCTTGACAAACAAGTCACTCGTACAGATGATTCTCAAAAGATAAGTGACTTTGTTGAAGTTGCTAAGACCAAAGAAATGACTGGTGTAAATAAAAGTGGTGCTGGTGATAATAATCAGTCTGTAGAGGTAGATGAAAACAACAACATGGCTGACCCAATAACTACTGTACTTAAAAAGAAAGAGAAGAAACGAGTTGTTGGTGGTACAAAACGGAAAAGCAACAAACAAAAAGGTTCGCCTAAAAGAAAAAGGAAAAGGCAATGTTCTAGTGAAGAACACCAATCTGATGAGAGAAACAAGCAGATAATAGATGTGACAAAGGATCATAGCATGCCATCAAATGTAAACATATGCACATTTGGAAGCACAACTCTTGTATTGATGAAAAATGAAGTACATTTAGAAGATTCATGCATAACTCAAAATAACCTGACAATAAAAAATGATAGCACAATGCAAGATCTTCCCGAGGACTATGAATCCAGTGGTGATTCTTCTCTTTGTGAATTCAAAGATTTCAAATGTCCAAATTGTGCATACTCAACCTCTTATGTAAGATTTTTTAAACGACATATTGCTCACCATAAGAATGTGCATTTGTTAAAATGTGACCTGTGTTCATACAGTACAAATAAGAGTGTGTCATTAAAACGTCATTCTAGATGGCATAAACATGTGAAAGGCCAAAATGTTTTGAAGTTCACCCCTCAGAATACCATAAAGGATAAGTATTCTTCCACAGATGAAACAAAGTTGACTCCTCGTGATACTATGGAAATTAAGAAATCAACCTTAGATCAGGGAAATTACGACACTAGTGATATTTTAGAAATTAAGAAATGTACAATAGATGGGGCAAAGTTTCCCCAACGTGATTCTATAGGAATAAAGAAAACCAAGGATGAGGAAAAAGTCAACCCACATCATTCTTCAGAAACTAAGAAACCCACCATAGAAGAAGTGATAATTCTTGAACCCGATGACTTGCCTGATGATATCAATGTATCAGATATATCCACAGACTCATCTTTACCAGATTTGAGCAGTGTAATTCATAGCAAACCTATTGAGAAATCTATCAAAAATGAGGCAAAAGTGACATCTCATGATACCATAGAAATTAAGAAATCTACCAAGGATGAGGTAGAGTTGACTCCACATGAAACCATGGACATTAAGAAATGTACCAAAAATGAGGCAAAAGTGACATCTCATGATACTATAGAAATTAGGAAATCTACCAAAGATGAGGTAGAGTTGACTCCACATGATACCATGGACATTAAGAAATGTACCAAAGACGAGGCAAAATTGACCACTCATGATACCATAGAAATTAAGAAATCTACCAAAGATGAGGTAGCGTTGACTCCACATGATACCATGGAGATTAAGAAATCTATCAAAAATGAGGCAAAATTGACCTCTCATGGTACTAAAGAAATTAAGAAATATACCAAAGATGAGGTAAAGTTGACTCCACATGATACCATGGAGATTAAGAAATCTACCAAAAATGAGGCAAAATTTACCGCATGTGATAGTCTAGAAATTAAGAAATGTACCATAGATGAGGCAAAGTTGACCCCTTACGATACTTTAAAGACCAAGAAATCCATTATGGATGAGGTAAAATTGACAACCTATGATACTATAGAAACTAAGAAACCCACCATATATGAAGAGATAACTCTCGAAACAGATGTTTTGCTTGATGATATCAATGTATCAGATACATCCACGGACTCATCTTTACCAGATTTGAGCAGTATAATACATAGCAAACCTATTGAGAAGGACTCAGATGCAAATGAAAGAGTTGAAAGAAAACTGAGAAGTAAAACACAGAAGCTGCATGTATCAAGAGCTTATGAAAGAAAAAGGTGTAGAACACACTTCAGTTCGGAAGCATCTGATGAACTGCCAAACATAATTGTCAAACGTAGAGCAACTAGAGTGCCTAGGGGTTTGCTTAACATGCTTGACAACAACTGAATTTTTTATACAGTTTGATCAACAAAGTGAATCTGACTAGCTATGTGCTTTAAACAGTGAATGTTTATAATGGAGAAAGTAATTTTTCTTTGTATTTTTTCTTAAAGTAAAGTAGCCAGACATTAATCAAGGCAATAGAAATTATAGTAGAAAGAATTTTATGTTCACAGACCTTACTGGGGTGTTGTTAAGTGTTTATAACAAATAACTGAATATAATTATTGGTCATATTTTGATGTTCTACAATGTAGTTTTCTTGCCTGGTTGAGGCCAATAGATTTGTTATTTACTGTTTGAATTTGTACATGTTTACTCAGTATTTAGACAATCACACATTTTGTACTTCTCATTTTGGCAATGTTTTACAATATTTTTTTTATTTTTTCCAAATATTGAGATGTATTCATTTAAAAAACACCAAGAGAAAAGGCCTTATTAAAAACTGCCTATAGTAAGTAGAATTCCAGTGAATGATCATGATTGATGAAACATTTCAAAGCATCATTATTCATTAAGGTTAATTTTTAGCATAATTGGGAATGTGTTATAAAGCTTATGTACTGTAGGTATATAATATTTAGTTTTGAAATCATTTGATAGTCTACAATAAGTATTTATCGCTATAGTTGATGATCATGGCTAGAATCATAATTTCCCTCTGAGTCAGAGAGATGAGTTCTAATTATAGGTAATTTACTTTGTATTTCTCTGTTATATATGTTTTTGTATTGTATACAATTTACAAAACATGATGATCTCACACATCTTCATTTTGAAAAGTAAGAAAATATTTTTGTACTAGAATTTTGTAGTTTTGTTAAGACTTTTGATTTTCAACCCCTGTATTCAACAAGAGGAGAGGATACCCAAGAATTTATAAATGAACCTATCTCCGTATAAAAGTGAATCTCTCATCTATGAATTATGGGGTATTTCCCCTTTTTGTTCACCTAGGTATTATGAAAATCACTGAGCTGATTTTTAACTCCTGTATCAAGAGGAAAAAATATACCAGAATTCATAAATGAACCATCTCCATGTAATAACAAACATGTTTCTTAAGGATTGGTATCGATATGGTGAACTGAATTCGACAATGTTTTTCTCTTAAACCAATTATTGAAAACATTCTGTAAAAATACATGCTATTTTGACTGATTGACAACAATTTAATGCAAAAATTATTTTGAAATATTTTATATAACTGTTTTTGTTAACATTTTTTTTTTTTACCAATTTTTGAGAGTGAAATAAAATGTCTTTCCGAACCTTGTTGGAACAAAATAGCATAAACAACATGTTTTAAGACCTCTCAATATTAAAGTTATACAATATATATTTTTGGTTGATTTTAAAAAAGTATTCAAAAAATTAAAACAAAATCCCCCCAAAATAGGTAAAAATCAAGATTAACCTTTTATTTCATTAACAAGATACTTTTTTAAAATCAACCAAAATTTCCTTTGTACAATTACAATATTGAGAGACCTAAACATGTTGTGTTGATGTCGTTTTGTTCCAATGAGGTTCGGAAAGATGTTTCATTTCACTCTGGAAACATGATACCAAGAACCTAACAAGTGTTTGATGTGTTTTTTAAAACAATATAGATGAAAGTATGTATATCTATTTCAAATTTAATCTATTATAAGAAATTTTTGATGACTTACTGGTTAAAGAGAAACATGTGTTCAAAAAGTTCTCCATATCGATACCCATTCTTTACAGAATGAATTTCTGAAAAAGCTTTAGTTAGAGGCTGTCTTGTTTTGTGAGTTAACAAAGCTAAAATACTGACATGAAACTATTCAAAAATGTATGTTGTTTGAAAAAAGAATGTGTTTTTATATAATGCCTTAGTCACATTTGCTGTGGTGACAGTGCTGCCAGTCTGATGCTGCAGCATGGCTATAGCTTGCCTGACTTAAATGAAAATCACACTAGTTATAATTTTTACAGAATGGCTTCAAGGATGTCATGGAAAATGTATTTGCTAATGACCATTCACTTATTTATTATCTGGTATTTAGTATTATTTTGAAGTTTCATGTCAATTTTCGACTCATAAACGTCCATTTGGATATTATTAAGGCTCAAAGTAGTATCTTATGATACGCATTGAAAGAAACATTTTTGTATGATCGAGTTAAGCATTTAGTTTGGGACATAAATATAGATTTTTATTATTAATTTAATGTGTCTTACATGTGTGATTTATTATAATAGTAATAGGAATGTATTATGTATTTTTGCATGAAATATTTTACCCTTGAATTTTGTCTCTTTAACTCAAAATAAGGTTTAACCTGTACATAGATTCTGTTTTGTAATGACATTCCTTATATATCTTAAAAACAGTCAATCAATATATAATCAAAATAGCAGTAACTAAACTTGACGCTTTCATATTACAAATACCTCTAGTGTTTTAATGATTTTACATTTAAAGGGGCAACAAGGTCTGTAGAGAAAAAATTCAATTTTTTTTACTTTTTCTGAGCTATCAGGGCAACATTTGGCTTAACATCTTTGACATACCTATTTTCTTAAAATGTATGGATAAACTATCTATTTCAGCATTAAGAAGTGTTAATTCAGTTCAGAGCTTCTATAAAGGGAGTCCCACTTATAGATTTTTAAGATCCATCATGTTTCAAGAGGAATGTCAGCTGAAATAATGTTCATCCAGGGGGTTTCTTTGGAGAAAATAAAAATATATGTTAGTCTTGCTGAAATATCGAAACTTGAATATATTTTGACACTGGTCCATGATCGTTTAATGGCCCCTCTACACTAATTGTTGCACCTTTAAACTTGACATATCAAAGGCAATCACTTTTGTGTTCATTTAGATTTTATCATGAAACTGTGAATTTATTTCTCATGTTCAAAGTCTCTTGTCTGATGGCTCTGTAAAATACTAGTGCTAGAGATACCTGCAGTACTATGGTGAGTATGAAATGAATATAGTTTTTGTTATTGGCAATAACCATTATTGTTATAGTCTCCAACTTTTTTTCGTGGACAGCGATCGGTGGTTGGTGTTCAGCTTTTGTAATTGTAACAAATGCCAGGTGGTAACGTTTTGCATGTAATGCCGTGTATTGCTTTATCATGCTTTTAAATTAGATTAATGTTTGTTTCTTGAAGTTTTGACAAGAGCAACCAGTCAAAGTCTCTGTGTTTGAGAATTCCAATCTAAAGATTTCATATGTTGTTAAAAGTAATAATATTTTAACATGTACTTTAACTTTCAGATTTTAAAGGATGGAAAGATTGAATCATTAGAGAACAGACAGTAGAACATGTAGAACAGACAGGAGCTAGAGGGATCCTGTTGGTAAGATTTTACTTGAACAATGATGTCATATGTGTAAATTAAAATCATCAAACTACACCAATCTTAAAACTGTGACCTGTAACAAAAATCACAAAGAACTCATAAATCATACTGTTCCTACAATTCAATGACATTCTCCAATTCTCTGATATTAATCAAATAGGCCTAACAGACAATTGTATTTTTTTGTTTTTTCAGGTTATATATAGGGTGAGCCAAAAAAGGTAACCAAAACTTAATAACTCATTCAGCATATGTTTAAATTATGTCATATTTTATCTAAGTATACCCCTGTCAATGTTATATCATGCTACCAAGTTGCATGGGTCTACCCCCAAAGGTCACAATTTTATGGCAATTTTACAAATCATGCTCCAAATCCCATAGTTGTCTCATGGATCCCCCAGACTCGGGGCAAGCTCAAATATAATGTGAACACTAACAACCCTAGAAACAAGAGATTAGAAGGCAGATGAGACCTATTACAAAATATGTCTGAGAGCATGTAGTCTTCGCCTGACGCATTGAAGTTTGCCTCCAGAGACGGGGCCGGCAATTGGAACACATTTTGTAAAAAGACCATTAAATCGTGATCGTTGGGAATAGACCAATGAGACTTGGGCGTCTGAATGAACATTGAACAAGGTATAACCCATGCCAAATGACTGAGTTATAAACATTTGTTTGTGATGCTTTTTTTGGGACACCCTGTTTATAGATTTATTCATTTTCAGATGTAAAGTAGTACTATGTACAAACTATTCATGTTGGACTATGTACATCTAAGCTGAGAATGTCTAGATATGGTAAGTATGCCTTGGGTACATTTTAATATACTGAAGCACATATATTGTATGGGGGCACATTTTACTACATGGGATTTTAAAATGGATATTCTTTCATAGAATATACATGTACCTTTGTATGCAAATCCTGCGAATCCTTGCACTAACTTCATAGATATAAATATGTGGGCCAATTTTTAGAAACATTTAGGCCTTAATTTTCAAAAAGGCCCATTTTAACATAAATGAGGCCTTTTTTATATCCTATGAAAAATTCAACAATTGATTGTCTACTTTAGTTACTTAGAATTACTTTAGAATTTACCTCCTGTATAAAGTTCATTATCAAGCATTTCAATGGCATTAGTTGCCATGTATGAATCATTTAGTTGCTGACATTGTTCTTTATCATGTGATCGTGGCATATTTTGTTGCTCTTTGAAATTATTTGTGTTGCTTAAAACAGAGTAATTATCTGTTGGATGTTTCTCTCTCGGAGAAATGGCATGTTTAATTTTGTTTTTATTTCCAATAGAAAGTGAATTATAAACTGGTTCTGTATATGCATTTATCTTTATTTTGTCATCGTCGCTTGAGTTATCATTTAGACAAATCGCCATTGCTTTGGAAACATTTCCAGATTGCTCAGCAACTGCTGAATCATAATCAACATTTGGCAAGTCATGTGCTTGTTCCTTCACTTCTTGATAGACGTTCTCAGGTTGAGCACAAACTGCTTGATCATAATCAACATTTGGTGAGTCATGTGCTCGTTTCTTCACTTCTTGATAGACGTACTCAGGTTGAACAGTAACTGCTTGATCATAATCAACATTTGGTGAGTCATGTGCTTGTTCCTTCACTTCTTGATAGACATACTCAGGTTGAGCACTAACTGCTTGATCATAGCCAACATTTGGTGAGTCATGTGCTTGTTCCTTCACTTCTTGATAGACATACTCAGGTTGAGCACTAACTGCTTGATCATAGTCAACATTAGTATTTGTGAGTCCCAATTGGTCTAAGCCTTTATGTTCAATTTTTTCTTCCAGAATTCTTGGCTTGTGACAAAGCCCTATATGAGTGTTTGAATCATTTGATTTAAAATTCTCTATCACACCTTTGTTATCCTCAACTATATATTTTGAGTCAACATCAATAGGTGTATCATATTCATATTCATTTAATGAATCATTTGTGTGAACTGTCCTGAAATTCCTCCCAGGTGATCTTGTGTTGTATGTTGTCAGTTCATATGCCTCAGTCGGCAATGTATCATTGGCAACTCCTGGTTTGTTACCAGCTTGTACGATGGTGTGGGTTCCATTTTCTGGCTTTTCAATTACTAATTTCTTACTTCTTTTAGATGGCTTCTCAATAATTGTATATGGGTCTCCATTTTTGTCCTCTCGCTTGATAATGAACCGTGGATCACTTTTCTTTACTGATTTTGAAGTTCCAGTATCATAGATATCATTGTCTATTAATTGTCCAACATTTGTGTCTGTGTCATGTTCTGTGCCATTTACCTCTGTGTTGTGTTCTTCAATACCAATGTCTATTTTGCCATCTCCTTCATTGTTGAAAGCCACATTATTGTATGTGGAATTGGTTTCTCCATTGTCTCTTTTATTGTATTTTGTATCCCGCCTCCTTGAATTGAAAGTAAATATGTAAGGACAATGTCAGATAGCAGCCAAATACATGTAGAATAAAAAAAACATAGAAAAGGGAACATTGGAAAGTGCACCTGGTCTTAAGGAAAGAAACCTAAAATCTCAATAAATTATCTAAGCTCAAAGAAACGGTGTCAAAAATCTCAATAAATTATCTGATGCTCAAAGAAACTGTGTCAAAAATCTCAATAAATTATTTAATGCTCAAAGAAACGGTGTCAAAAAACTCAATAAATTATCAAATGGTCAAAGAAATAGTGTCAAAAATCTCAATGAATTATCTAATGCTCAAAGAAACAGTGTGAAATCTGAATTACATGAAATGTAAATTAAATCTGAATATCATGAAAAGTGAATGAATAAAACATTTCTTAGCTATTATTTTTCCATATTAAATTCAGTTTTCTTCTTTCAAATAAAAATGAAATTTTTTATCAGATAGACCATTTCTGGGGAGCTCACCTTTTTCTCATCAACAACATCAATACAATTAACATGAGGGTCAGTGCCGCTATTCCTATTACAGTTGGCACAACAATTGCTGAAAAGCAAGAGGTGTTGTTGAAAAAACTTTAATTAATCATCCTTTTGGCACGTTTCATTTTTTTATAAAGTTCAGAGTATGTTTTCTTATTAATGTTTTAGAACAAACAATACATTTGAAGTTCTTTTCTCCAGTGTGAATTCTATGATGTAAGTTTACATGGTTTAAAGAAGTATTTTGTGCAAATGCTTTAAGAAAAGATCACATTTGAAGTTCTTTTCTCCAGTGTGAATTCTATAATGTAAGTTTAGAGAAGTATTTTGTGCAAATGTTTTAAGAAAGATCACATTTGAAGTTATTTTCTCCAGTGTGAATTCTATAATGTAAGTTAAGAGAAGTATTTTGTGCAAATGTTTTAAGAAAAGATCACATTTGAAGTTATTTTCTCAAGTGTGAATTCTATAATGTAAGTTTAAAGAAGTATTTTGTGCAAATGTTTTAAGAGAGATCACATTTGAAGTTCTTTTCTCCAGTGTGAATTCTATAATGTAAGTTTAGAGAAGTATTTTGTGCAAATGTTTTAAGAAAAGATCACATTTGAAGTTTTTTTCTCCAGTGTGAATTCTATAATGTAAGTTAAGAGAAGTATTTTGTGCAAATGTTTTAAAAAAAGATCACATTTGAAGTTCTTTTCTCCAGTGTGAATTCTATAATGTAAGTTTAGAGAAGTATTTTGTGCAAATGTTTTAAGAAAAGATCACATTTGAAGTTCTTTTCTCCAATATGAATACTTTTATGGACATGTAAGTTGCTTTTGACTAGGTTGAATATTTTGAGTATTGATTGGAGAATCTGTTATATTTTAATTATCTCATTAGCAAAGGAGCTACAAATATGATGTACTTGATGATATCAAGAGTTTAGGACTTGCAATGATGCTGTAAAACTTCTTTTAGCTAGATATGAAGGGGGTCAGATTCACCATTTCTAGAAGGTTCAAAATGGAAAATTAAAAATGATCTGAAATCCTGGCCAGGATAATGTGATAATGTGCATTTTGGACTTGGGACAGGTAACTTGTAAGCAGCAATCAGAAATGCAAATAGAAAATTATTAACTCTTAAGCTTAATAAAAGTAATTACCTACTATAAATGTGAATAATACTTTAATGTCTATCAACAAATTCAATGAATGCCAAACAAACGAATAAGACTTTATATATTATACCATGGGATGGTATAACCTAGCTATTTAAGCTTATCTTAAGCTTATACTTATAGTAAATAGTAACTAAAGTAACCAGAACAATAGTTCATTTATATAAAGATTTTATCCTCATGGTAACCTTAAACTTATTTGTACACCAAATTGACTTAATATAGGTTCACTCTACTGTACAGGTAGCTAACACCTAGAAATGCATAAGATTCTGTTTGTCTAATTGCATTGTTTAGTATATTACCTTAGTACCTTATTGTGATAAACCGATAAACCGATAAACCTACCATTAATAAGGAACTGACAAATAAAAACGAATAACAATTATTACTAATAAGACACAAATGGGTTGCTCATGAACACAAAATGCAAGGTATAGTAGAGTGACACTAAACCACACAGATGCTTCAAATAAAACTAGGAGTAGGACTACACATATATTATTCAATAATTCCAGGAAAATTACGAAAACACTGTTTACAGAAAAATAGTGTGTGTACATGTACTATGTATTATGAAATGCTGCTGTCTTTATTTGATTAGACATTAAACATTTTATGGAGTGACATAAACGTGAAAATAACGTTCATACCATACAGCATAATAATAAAGGATACAACAGGAACTATCTGAAATTCCTAGAAAGTCAATAATGCTGAAAGTATGATGGATAATGCCAAAAGTATGATGAATAATGCAGATAATGGGATAACTAATGCCAAAAGGGCTTCTTTATTGAAGAATGATACGTCTAGTATTACAAGTGGTTTTCAGAGAGGAGCAAAGGGTCATAAAGGAGAACATATTTGTGATATATGCCAGAGAGTGTGCAAATGTAAATCTGCACTAGTGACACATTATAAAATCCACACTGGAGAAAAGAACTACAAATGTGATGTCTGTTCTAAAACATTTGCAAGAAAGTATTCTCTTAAAGCACATTATGTATGTCATACTGGAGAAAAGAACTTCAAATGTGATGCTTGTTCTAAAACATTCTCAGGAAAGTCTTCCCTTAACTTACATTATAGAATTCATACTGGAGAAAGGAACTACAAATGTGATGTCTGTTCCAAAACATTTACAAGAAAGCAATCTCTTAATGTACATTATGTATGTCATACTGGAGAAAAGAACTACAAATGTGATGTCTGTTCTAAAACATTCTCAACAAAGTCTTCTCTTAACTCACATTATAAGATTCATACTGGAGAAAAGAACTACAAATGTGATGTCTGTTCTAAAACATTCCCAAGAAAGTCTTCTTTTAACTTTCATTATAGAATTCATACTGGAGAAAAGAACTTCATATGTGATGTTTGTTCAAAAACATTTATACAGAAGTCTTCTCTTAACTCACATTATAGAAATCATACTGGAGAAAATTTCAAATGTGATATTTGTTCGAAAATATATACTCATAAGTCTTCTCTTAACTTACATTATAGAATTCATACTGGAGAAAAGAACTTCAAATGTGATGTTTGTTCAGAAACATTTTCAAGAAAATATTCTCTTGACTCACATAATAGAATTCATACTGGAGAAAAGAACTTCAAATGTGATGTTTGTTCTAAAACATTTTCAAGAAAGTTTTCTTTAAAATTACATCATAGAATTCATACTGGAGAAAAGAACTTCAAATGTGATGTTTGTTCTAAAACATTTGTACAAAGGTCTTCTCTCAACTTACATCATAGAATTCATACTGGAGAAAAGAACTTCAAATGTGATGTATGTTTCAAAAGATTTGCACAACAGAATTATCTTAACTTACATTATATAATTCATACTGGACAAAAGAACTTCAAATGTGATGTTTGTTCTAAAACATTTGCACATAAGACTTATCTTAACTCACATTATAGAATTCATACTGGAGAAAAGAACTTCAAATGTGATGTTTGTTCCAAAACATTTGCACGGCGGCCTTATCTTAACTTACATTATAAAATTCATACTGGAGAAAAGAACTTCAAATGTGATATTTGTTCTAAATCATACATACAAAAGATTAATCTTAAAAGACATTATAGAATTCATACTAAAGAAACACTATGAATGTAGCATCAATGAAAAATAAGGTTGAGGTTGCATATAGATGTCACTACTAGGTTGTTTATACCTTTTGTAATCATGCTGTAATGGATAATATATTTACATGTAAATTTAGTTATTTAAATATATTGAAACCATTTCAAAAATAAAAACAATAATTATATTTTTATAATGTTTAAAGGGAGAATCAGATCAATGACATTTTAAGTTTTTCATTTTAAATTAGACATGGGTATTATTACCCATTGAGTATGAGTGCTCGAAATAACAGGAATTTCTGTTAATTCTTAGATCTCTCTGAAGTATAGCTTCATTATACTTAAATGAAAGGCTATTAAGAGTATGTTGCCAATAATGTATAATTTTTCTGATTCAAAGCTTGGAAATTCAAAATGGCCACCTAATGTGTGATTTCATGATAGTTTTGTGATCTCTTTAAAGTATTGCTATAGTGTACTCAAATCAAAGGAATTTTAGAGGAGATCACAATAATGGTATTGTTTTTCTGATTTGACTGTCTAAAGAAGGGATTCGCTATGATTTAGAGATCTGTCCAAAGTAAAGTATGGTTACATTATCCTACATATGATCACAAATAGTGTATTGTCTTTATGATTTGTACCTTTGAAATACAAAAATGGCCACCCAAATGCTTAAATTGAGATTTCTTCTCCTTGGAGTTGCAGTTTTTTTTATTAATTATTCATTGTTAAATACTTTGTGGTCAATATTTGTATATACAACAATAAAAACATATGGTTAGTTTTCTTTGCTAAACAGCTAAACAGGGAATTATTATCCCATCGAACAAAGTTCAAGGGGATAAAGATAATCTTGTCTGTTCGTCCATCCGTCTGTACATCCGTCCATCTGTCCGGCCTCAAATACCATCGGCCAAATATTGTTTATATTTTATTTGCTTATATGTGAGTACAAGTTCTGCTTGAAATTTGATTTTGAAAACTGCTGTTGGTTTCAAACTGGCCCCCATTTTATTGTCAATTTTACAGTATTTTAGTGACAACTTATAAAACTAACATTTTTTTAATGCAGAAAATTATGCAGGATATTGATTTAGTTCAAAATCTGATTTTTTAAAAAAATTATGGTATGGCACACTATCCATTTTTATGTGTGTTCTTTATGTTTTTTTGGTATAACTGGAAAAGAAGTGATATGTTTTTATAAGATCAAATAGTAATAAGCATGACACACTGTCAAGTGACACTTTGGCTTATAGGCGGGCATTTTTCATTTTCATTTTGAAAAATGGCATCTTTAGTATGTTATTTCACTTTTTTGCTATCAATTCAAAAAGGAGTGGAGCGATCTTGTTGCAATTTTATATATGAATACTTGGAAGCATATTTCACAGTCTTATGGAATGTTGGCTAATAGGTGGCCATTTTGAAAAATGAAGGCCATTTTTATATGCATTATTTTACATTTTTTGCTATAATTTGAAAGGTAATGGAGTGATTTTGTTGAGATTTTATATGTGAATATTTGGAAGCATATTATACTGTCTTATGACAATTTAGCTAATAGGAAGCCATTTTTATGTGTGTTATTTTAAGCTTTTGGTATAACTATAAAACTGGAAAGGTAGTAGAGCGATTTTGTTAATATTAAAATATGAAAATACTTGGAAGCATATTACACTCTAATGACAATTTGACTAACATGAGGCCATTTCAAAAAATGGCGGCCATTTTTATGTGTGTTAGTTTAAGGTTTTTAAGCTACGCCTTGGCATTGCTGTTACCTAGTTACATAAGGGCTCATAAGGACCTATATGTAATCACAATTTGGATAAAGTTTCATAGCAATGAATAACTTACTTGCTACTGAAGTCTTTTGAGCCATGTTGAAGTTAACAGATGTTCCATTCGCTGATGATGCTATTGTTGGATGTACTGCATTTGTTACTTCATTTGTGGCAAATATTGAAGCTTCAGCTGAAATTGGGCTATCTTGTGTAGTCAGTTCATGTGCTGTTACAACCTCAGGTGATATTTCTTGAGTTACCTGTGTCATGTTTTCATGATTTGTAACATCTTTAGTTGACATTTGAGTTGTGGCATCATATTGAGTTGTTGGTTGCCATGTTGTTACATCTTGAGCAATTGTCTCTGACCTTGTTGAAACTGTTTGGGTTGTTAATTTGGTGGTTACCCATGGTTGTGTTGTGATTTTCTGAGTTTTCAGTGGTTTTGTTGTAATATCCTGAATTGTTGCATATTTTGTTGTAATTCCAGCTGTTGTAGTCACTCCTAGTTTGGTGATTACTTCAGTTGGAGATTCTGTTGTTAAATCTGGGTTATTTGTTGTTGGAAGTGTTTCTGTTGTATATGGATTGTATTCACATTCATACGTGACTTTCTCATAGTTATATGGAGCAATTTCTTTACAAATAGCACCAGGAAAAAGGTATACCTCAAGAGTACATATTTGTTTGTTGTTACATACATTTTGGACATCAGTAAATCTGCCATTTATGTCCTTTGGGCTTGTATTAGCATATCCATAATCAAGTGAACCTGGGTCATTACTGCCATCTTTACACAATGGTTTAGAATTGTGACAGTCCCCATTGCTCCCTGTTGTACCAACCTCAACCTCTATTACCTTTATCAAGTATTGATATGGACATGTTAAAGTTAGATTCTCATTTGCGCACTTCCTGTCAAACATCTTACAATTGTAGCATATTTCCTCATAATTCCTTCTGTTGGTGCCCCACCATTTTGAACACTCTCCTGTTGGTGATGATGTTATGGTACATGTTGATTGTCCATTGCAATTTCTTACCTCGGGTCTCCAGTACATAATTTCTTGTTCGCATGAAGTAGGTAAATAACCTTTATACATGTAGATGTGTTCGTCGCTAGTGATATCAATAAGGTTGCCATTGGGACAACTAATTGTTAAATCCTTCCAAGTCAAACCTCCATGACAATCTGAAATGATGATGGTGTATCTGAGTATGGTTCATAATAGTGCCAATTTTTACCAATTAAATGATTAGATTCTGATTTTAATGAAAAGTATTTGTTTTCATCCAGGGATATCACAAAAAAGTTTTAATTCATAATGTTGTGTATTTTACACAATCATCTATAAACCTCTGTTTCTGAAATTGAAGATTTGAAAAAGTGTGCATGTATACACACATTAAGCACAATTTACCACGTTCAGTTACATTGACTGAATAATCATTGCTTTATGTCACATGTGCAAGTGTTTGCAGCATGTGATCACAAACTTCCAAGTAGAGCTTTGTTTATGTCAGTTCAAATTAAGCAACACAAAGAATTTAAGTATGACCTTCAGAACAATGTATAAGGAAATGAGCTACAGATAAACAAGGAAGATTAGTTTAGCTGAGTGAAAAATGTGACAATTATAACTGAATTAAATGCCTTTTAGAATTGTATTGGGAAAATGGTGCAAGAAAAATAAATTAAAATTTTATAAATAAAAGTAAAATTCAATTTGGAACTCATTATAAAGTAAATTAATATAGGAGCTGAGTACAGAAATGACATTTTAATGTTTTCATTTAAAATTACAAGCAAAAATGAATTCATAGAATAATTTAACATATACAGGGTGACTCAAAAACAATGTTACCCTCTAATTTTGGAATATCTCAAATATGATGGAATCTTTGTGATTTTTTGTGTATAGATAGAGTGTTCAATTGAGAAAACAGTGGTGTACTTTCCTTGCATTTATAATTTTATGAAATCCTTCAAAAATGTTCAAAAAACAAACATTTTCGGAAATTGGGATTTCTGTCTTAACATTTTTTGAGTCATTTCTGGATTGCTTTCACATCAATGATATGTCATATCTACCCATTTTTCTAAAGTAATTTTATCAAAAATGATGAATTGTCTTACTTATAAGGTAAATTTTAAGGAAGACAAATTTCCTAACTTACATTTTGAGTGGTTTGATGTCAGAGAATATGCCTCTATGATATCTTTAAATCTCTAAGTTGGTTGCTATGCAAGTACACCAATGTTTCATGCACTGAACATTCTATCCAAAATAGAAATTCATGAAGATTCCTTCATGATTGAGTTACCCCAAAACTAATGTGTCAAGTTTTTTTTACCACAAATAAGATTACTGATTAAGAAGTTATAGCAAAATAAAAAAAAATGTAAAGATTTTCTTGTCCACTCTGTCTCCAATAAAAACTTAAAAAACAAAAACATATACATTTACCTGTTTCAAATGCCTCACATGATGCATAGGTACACATCACAAACATAAACAGATAAACACATTCCCTCTTTCCTTTGTCAAACATAGTGTGTCATTGATTGTTTCATGCAGTATGTTCAGCTCATCCTTGGCCCAAAAGTATATTACTTCTTTCCTGATCTGTGGCATCAGAGAAACCCAATTATGAAGGATGTGTTTAGCTTAGAGTTTGATTGTCTTATGCTAATGTTAATACCGTATTTGTTTAAATGATTGACTGTCAAGTATTGTAAGGACAAGGAAGTTAAATGATAGTATTGCTGCCTACTGTAGATTACACAGAGCTAGAGGTCAGTATTATATTATAGATAATACACAATGTACAATAAGTGGACAGTGATCTCCCCAGCATTAAAGCAAGTGGGTGCTGCACCCACTCGAGATTTGACTTAATAAGTTTGCACCCACCTGAAAGTCTATTTGAAAACACTTGAAAATGAAAAAAATCAAGAAAATAGGCATATTTTGACCAAATTCGGTCTAAATTGTGAAAATCAGAATTTTGCACCCATTTGAGAAAAAGTCCAAGGACAAATATAAATAAGCACATACTCTTTTCAATACTTAGATTTTGCTTCCTTAAAAGAGAGCTTCATCTTGCACTCTTTGACTTAGAGATGTATGCATTGTTTTTTTCCTTGTGTTCATCTCAATGCTATGTTGAAAAGGCATACTCACAAAATATATTTCTGATACACTCCCATTTATAAGTTTGGCAACTGGAAGTTTCATTAGATAGTGTATCAAAATCCTGTCAGGGTGGGAGGTAGGTGAGCAGAAATTTCCCCTGGCCAGATATTCTTTCAAAATCATGCAGTTCTGAGCACTTTTTGCATGATTTTTTTAGCCAAAACTTTCATTGTTTTCTTAATTCTTTTTGTTCCTTAAATACAATAGTTTTAAAATCGGAATGTTATAAAAACCCTTCGACCTTCGACCTGCACCTTCGACCTTCACCTTCGACCGACAGGGTGTCCAAAAAGAAAATATTATAGAAGCTATTTTTGCCGATCTCAGACCACGAAAGAGTCATATTTTCTTTCGAAACTATATAATATTTCCATTCAAGGATTTCCATATACTGCCCTGTCACCATGGTTATGGGAAGTCCTCCATATATTACTTATATTATATTTCTCAGGTTACGCATCTTCCATCCAAAATAAAAAATATGTATTTTTAAAATAAATTATTTGTCTAGTTTTCGTTAAACAAATATCCTGAGACACATAGGGCCTGTAGAAAACACTAAACAGAAAAATAAAAAAAATATTCATACCTCCAAATCTGCTTTATTGGTCAGATAATGGACCAAATCATAATGGTTGTTCAAAATAAAAATTTAATCTCGTGAGAATAAAGCAAATCACGCAGCTATTTCGACCAATCAAATAGCTTGAAATCTACCAACCATTTCGTCCAGTGTTTCACAACCGGAAGTACGTCATTGACGTCAATTTCTGAGCGGACCTTTCAATGGCATGGAGAAATTTTGCTCACGAGAATTGATGATTAGAACACATATAGGCATAAGAGGTGAGCGACCCAGTTATTTTTGCGTATAAATGATTCAAGAATAGCATGATATCAAATAATCTGTACATTATGCTAGGATTCATTCAAAAATTGAATCTAGAGGACAGGTGACCATATTTTTCATATTTTTTTAATTTTTACTAACATTACCTGCTGTATATATGGCTCCTAGATGGAGGACTTCCCACTATCCGTGCCTGTCACGCATTTGCTGGAACAATAGAAATCACGCATCAATTTAGCGTGTAGGATCAAATATCACGCAAATCACGCATTTTGTTGATATTTTTAAAAATCTTTTTTTGTGAAATGCCGACACGGTAAAAAACCGAATGGCGAAGAAAAGCGAACGCATTCCGTTCGGTCTTTGCACGCGATTGCCGTTTATGTCACGCATTTGGTACAAATATGTGTATATATCACGCATTTGTTTCGAAAATGCCCCCCCCCCCCCCCCGTTGACGGATTTGAACAGCGAGCAAAAAAATGGAAAAAATCTAGGTGTCCAAAATCTGCCAGGTGTTCACTGAAGCTGTCCAAAGTTTGAAGGAAGGTGTTCAACATTTGGAAGTCACTCATGTTAGATGGTTGGTCCCAAGTTGTCAGCCCTGCATATAAGTCATATAATTGTAAACACGTATATAAGTAGGCCTATTAGGAAATACGTTAAACATTCACTCAAGTCCATGTCTCCGACGTGACTAGCAGGCCCGCAGCCAGGATTTACCACATATTGGCTATAATGTATGGGGACGTACCGCTAAAAGTTTTTCACCGGAAAATCCCTAGATGTGGGTCCCATTTTGAAGAAAAAACACTTGATATGAGTCCCATTTTGATGAAAAATCCCTAGAACTGGGTCTACTCTGAAAAATCCTAAAACTGTATGGGTACTGTTTTTGAAAAAATCGCCGGAAGTGGGTCATGTTTTTTAAAAATTAATTGGGTAGGTATTTTGAGTCTCACCGGCACCCCCCTGTAAAAATATGTGACCAGTACCCCCCCCCCCCGCCACAGTGTTGGCTAAAAAATGACCATGATGATAGAGGAAGAAAAGAGCCTTACAATGCTTTTTATTTGAAGCTTATAGCTCAATTTTGAAGGAAGTTACATACATATTTGTAAATTCAAAACAAATCTTACACGTTTTTTAATGATCTAATTATGTTATATATTCATATTTTTCGTTTTTTGGGTACCCGGTTTTTTCGACCGGGTACCAAGTTTGAACCCAGCATAGTGGATTTACTACCCGGTACCTGGTACCCAGTTTTTTTCTACAAACCCCAAATTATATCTGTATTTCAGTTATGGACGGCACATGCATGCGTTTAATAATTTAAACAAATCAAATTACTGGATTTAATATGCATGCGCAAAAAAAAACAGAACAAAAATAGACTGGCGCAGATCCCCCCCATTGCCCTTGTGCAATTCTTTATACTCTTCAACGGAGGAGGCCAAGAAACGATCGATGGAAATCATTTGCTCGAATTCAAGAACTGTTTTCATTTCTCCTTGGATCGTTTACTAACTGCATGCATGACTGAGTATAAAACATCAATAAGTCAAAGGTGCAGGTCGAAGGGTTTTTATAACTTTCTTTTTGCCCCGCTTTTTGAACACCCTGTAAGTCGAAGGTGAAGGTCGAAGGTGCAGGTCGAAGGTGCAGGTCGAAGGTTGATGGGTTTTTATAACATTCCTTTTAAAATAATGGCAAATGAATTTTTAAAATCATCAAACATAAACAGGCTTTGATAAGTGATTCAAAAAGGGGGTCTTCCAAACTTATTGAGGATAGTGTATCTACATGTGCAGAGTAAAATTAATTGGTAAAATAAAAGAGGGGGAAGGTATTTCGTGTTTAATTGAATTGATTTTTAATTGGCAAATTGACATCTCATATAAACATATATATTCTGAATATATGTACTTGTAATTGTTTATATTTTTATTTCAAATTAAAAAATAATCTTCCATTTATCTTCTTTTTTACAACTTTTTACACTTTTACACTTGCTGTCTTAATGTAAAATATTTCATTACCACATACCATATTATGTTATACAATTTTATAGTATCATATTGTATTATGCTATATATTTGCAGGGGCGTAGGAAGGTTTAAATTCAACACTACGCCAAAAAATGAAACATATTGCGTCTAATCTTCTATATCAAAACGCCTATTTTATGCTCGTAAAACGTCATTCTATGGCAATACCTTAGGCTAATATAATGTGCTTAAAATGTTTGAATGTTTTCATAATATAAAATCACCATGGAAAGTCGATCTTTTAAATCTTGACACAACTCATTCTCACTTTTCTTAAATGTTGTTTTTTTGAACGATATCTAGACGTCTTTCCAGATAACATCATAGGCGTAGCCAGGGGGGAGGTGCGATTGATGCATCCCCCATAACCAATAAAAATAAAACCATGAGAAAGAAGAAGAAAGGAGCTTTTATTTGAAGCTTCTAGCTCAATTTTGAAGGAAGTTGCATCAATTTTTGTAAAATTCAAATAAATCTTATTTTTGGCTTGTTAGTGCCACAATCGCAATCCTCCTGACTGAAAACCGAAATTGTTTTGGCGATCGCAACCCCCTGATAGAAAGCTGGCTACGCCCCTGAACATTGAGAGATTTTAACCATTTTTGAATAGTTGAATTTAGATATATATTATTGCAATACGACAAAACAGATTAGAGAAACTAGTATGATCAATCGATTTAAAGAAACATATTCGTGATCAATTATACAATTAACCTAAATGTCTGCAACCTTTTTATAACACTAGATCGCAAGACAAAATAACGCCCCCTCCAAAAAAGCTGAAGTTGTACTTTATGTACTTTCAAGGATAGGATTTATCGCCAAAAAGTCATTGAATTCAATGGAATGCGAAATTGAATAATCAACAATTTCAAGTTGTTTTTGTCTTTAACATTCATAGAATGAAGTAAGAAGTAATATCTATTACAATAAGTAAGAAAATAGATAAATATTGTCCAAGCATTACGGAACATGCACAAAAATGCAAAGGCAGTCATCGATGTCATCAGGTAGAAAAAAAACGTTCTTCTCTCAAACTCGTATAAGAGAACGCGATTCACGAATATTTTGAGAAATTGTAGTTTACTTTTAAAATTCATAAGATAGTATTAGTCAATAGTGTCTTGATTTTTTGAAATAAAGCATGTTGGTCTGGGAATTCAATCTGTTCAAAGACTACTTACCAAGCAGAGCAATAATGATTACTTTGCATTTTCTGCAGTATTAGAAACAAGGCAACTTTCAATATTTTAAAACTAATTCAATATTATATGAATTTAATTTCTCAAAAAGTGTCATTTATCTGTGCCACGATTAGAAAAATAACAGAGGAACAAAAACCTTGCAAAAGAGTACTATTGAGACATCGAGCATAATATAGGCCTATGGTATTCAAAAACATTTTTTAGGCTAGTGTGCTCGAGATAAACTTATGCACAATGAGAAAATATCACTGAAGAACTTAGTAAAATTAATAAGCCTTTTTTATTTTCACTTTTCAACACTACGCACTGGCGTTTTGGCGTACATTGTTCCTACGCCACTGATTTGTGACATTAAGTATAATCTGCTATCAGCTCATTGGGAAATGTATGTCTCCTATCACAATTATAGTAGTGAACCCCTGCTTGTTTAATGTTTGCTCTGTAGTTATATCTATATTTAACTGAGTTTGTATCTTATTGTCAATGTTGCCTAGGGATGTCATAATCAGGCTCTGGTTCATGATCCATCTTAGATATTATATCATGTCCTCTGTTGTATATTGGCATACCAGTATCATAAAGAGCATTTATATTACTCCATGTTTGGTAAAGTCATTTATCAAGTCATTACAAACATTTTAGTTGATACTTTTAATTTCATTATCAGCCTCATTATCAGTGTAATATATATATAATACTCACTTTAAAGAAGATTACCAGTACGTACATGACCATCCTGTACCATACGGTTTCACTCATTGCATGATGTTTTTTGAAACTGCACATTTTCAAGATTGAGCACTGACTTTGAGATAATGAAATTCAAAATCCGCTGTCAAATGACTTGGTTTTATTTACAGAGTCAGCCAAAACAGATTTTTTCAAAAAATATTCTCCAAAAAGTTGTGTGGGTTATTATATGATTATACAGTGATCTCACCAGCATTAAAGCAATTGGGCACAGCACCAACCTGATATTTTAAAAACAGGCTTGCACCCACCTGATATTTCATTTGTACCCACTTGAAAATGAGAAAAATCATGTAAAATGGGCATATTTTGACCAATTTTGGACTGAATTGTGAAAATGAGAATTTTGCACCCACTTGAGAAACAATCCTAGGGAGAACACTGTTATGTATTGTTATTCTATTGATTACATCTTATACTTAATTATAATATATCAATCTACTATTATACAATACTGTATCATCAATGATCACTTTTTATGTCACCAGCAAAAAAGTGGTGACATATTGTTATGGCCTCCATTTTTTTGTAATGGCATCTGTAACAAATGGTGGTGACATTTTGCATGTAAATGCCTTGTTATTGTTTTTTGTTGCTTGAACTATATTTATTTATACATTGTATATACAGTACAGTATTACTACCAGTATATCTTTAACTTTAATTAATAATAATCTGGTATTGGTTCACTATCCCTTTCATGTCTCTTATCAACAGTGGAGGAGAGGTGACGTGATCCTTGATTAAACTTCAGCTCTTGCGTTATCTTTGATATGTTTGTCCTTATCTGAGAGTTGTAGCTTGGATTCCAATTATTGTCATAATCAGCTACTGGCTCATCCATTGTCGGTACATGATTCATATTTGATGCCTTATCATTGCTATTTTTATATTGTGGCTTGATAGTATCACTAGTGTGTATTAGTGCAGGTTTTGTGTCATCTTTTGCCATATCATTTTCAATGTCATTATCGATGTTGTTGTTTGTATTAAACTTGAATTGTTCAATGTTATCTTCTTCATTGTGGAATACTTTGTTGGAAAATGTTGGAGCAGTTACTTTATCGTGCTTTCTGAAATGCAATATTATTTGTAATTTTAAAAACGGTTGACAAGAGATACACAGTCAGTGGCCAGTTTACTTATATTGTTTTGTTTAGTTTGTGCATCTTTTTGTAATTCATATGTTGTTCTTTGTGCTTTCTCATTATAGATAATCACATGTCTTCATGGATGGATTTTTAATATATGTCTGAGCAAAATATTTGTATTAACTGGTACAGTAAACAGTACAGTCACTTTGGCAAAAGTAACAGAATGGAGTTTTGTTGGAGCGAACATAGGCATATAAGTAAATAGGTGTGTACTTCATTCTATTAAGCGACACTTGAAGCAATATTATTCTCTACAAAGCATATAATTTGAAATCGCAGCTGTTACACAGCTGAAAAGCATTCATTCTAAATTGGTGATCGAATGACCTTTCAATGAAAGTTGTATTTGCATTTTGAAAGTTGAAAGATTCCTGTGTGACTTTATACAAAGTGGGAAACATTAGAAAGTTTATGACTTTCAAAATGCAAAAAATAATTTATATCTATGGGTCATCTCAATCACCAATACTGAATAAAGGCTGTAAACGGTGTATTAAAGCTGCAATTTCAAATTCTTTGCTATGGAGAAAGATGAATGCTTAGTGCGTCGTTAAAGGATGAAAAACACAACTGTAGACAAAATTTTCCTTTTATTAGGTATCCTATTCAAATGGATGACTATAATTGAGTACCCATCATGCCTTAGTTTATGAAATATCACAAATTCAAATTCAAAAAAGACCGTTAATATTCGCACCTTATGCATATTATGTCCGCACCGCCTAATTTCGTATAGCACAGTCTGTAAAGGGTGATGATGAATTAGATTAAAGTGTGTGAATTTTCTACTTACTTTTTCTTATTCAGTATTAGACAGATTAACACAATGATGATGATAAGTAGCACAATACCAAGCAGAATAGCTATAAGCACAATGATATCTGAAAAAAACCCAAAAAACAGTCATTACAAAAAACATTTGCTGTGTAGTTTGAACTCCTATAATATCAAATAAACTTAGGACAGAGAAATATACAATGGTGCCTAAGGTCATCAGGGTGCAGTTTGATGAAATTCTTTTACCATATGCTATTTTTAGATAAACATAATTCATTCCACACATCATCAACATCTTTCATTCTTGCACAAAAGATGCATTAGTGTACCTAGACTATTAATTGAGGGTTGATAATTCTTCAGAATGTTTGAATATCTAGTGGTTTTCTTTTCAAAATTTCCAAAAAAATCCAAAGTGCACCCTGACCTTGAAACAATCTGAGACATTTAACTCTTCAAGCTCTGCAAAAGTATGTGCCTTTGGTGGTTGTATAGGGTGCAATTCAGAGAGAAGTGTTTGCTTCCATTTTATTTCCACATGATCAAGATTGGGATAAGATGGAATTAAAATTGTGAGCAAAGAAGAAGGAATAGATCGACTCCTGAATTTAAGGCATTTTCTTTCTTTTGAGATAAACATTTTAGTAGTTAGTTAGAATGGAATTCTTTAGACAGTATTAAAATGCTAGAATTATTTTATTTGAAAGAGAGATTGTTCAATTGAAAATATATAATGCTGCCACTACTATCTTTCATGATATCTTATATGAAACACATTGTGCATTGTCCAAAAGGCTCACTATCCAAACTTACTTTCTAATTCTTGATAACTGGCTGAAGGATTGATCTCTGCAGGATTTGTGCTTGTTGGGGATGTAATTTCTTCACTTGTGGCAGATCTCAAAGTCAATGTACTTTGCTCATATGGAGCACTGCTTGATGGAGTCTCTGAACTTATCCCTTTTGTACTAGATTGTTCACTGGTGTGTCCAGATGGTGTTGTACGTCCTTTTCTTAATATATTTGTTGATGTTTCTTTTGCTTGAATTGTATATTCTGATGATAAGTCTTCAGTTGTACTTGTAATTATTGTTGTAGACTGTTTGGTGATGACTTCAGTTGTTGTTTCTTCTGTTATTTTAATAGCATCAGTGGGGCTTTGTTGTGTTATGGTCTCAGTCATTGTTGGTTGTATTGTCATGTCCTCAATTTTTGTATGTTGTGTCATGACTGCATTGGAAGTTTGTTCTTGTGTTATAATGGCATCATCAGTAGAGTGTTGTGTTGTAATGGCCTCAGTGATAGTTTGTTTAGTTGTCATGGCCTCATTGGTAGTTTGTTTTATTGTTATATCCTCAGTTGTAGCTAGTTTTGTTGACATGAGTTCATTTGTAGTTTGCCTTGTTGTTTTTGCCTTTTCCACAGGCTTGGTGGTAGTTTGTTGTGTTGTCATGGCCTCGGTGGTAGCTTGTTTTGTTGCCATGGTATTGTTGTCACTTGCAGCTTGTTTTGTCATGGCCTCAGTGGTAGTTTGTGTTGTCATGGCCTCAGTGGTAGTTTGGTGTGTTGTCATGGCAACAGTGGTAGCTTGGTTTGTTGTCATGGCCTCAATGGTAGCTTGTTTTGTTATCATGGCCTCAGTGGTAATCTGTTGTGTTGTCATGGCATTGCTGTCATTTGTGGATTGTTTAGTTGTCACAGGCTTATTGGTAGTCTGTTGTGTTGTCATGGGTTCAGTTATATCTCGTTTTGTTGTTATTGCCTCGGTTGCGAAATGTTTAGATGTCATCACCTCATTGGTAGATTGTTTTCTTGTCGTGCCCTCAGTGATAGTTTGTTTTGTTGTCATGGCCTCAGTTGTAGCTTGTTTTGTTGTCATGGGGTCATTGGTAGTTTGTCTTGTTGTCATGGCCTCAGTGGTAGTTTGTTTTCTTGTCTTAGCCTCAGTTGTAGATTGTTTTGTTGACATGGGGTCATTGGTAGTTTGTCCTGTTGTCATGGCCTCCGTAGTAGTTTGTTTTGTTGTCATGGTCTCAGTTGTAGCTTGTTTTGTTGACATGGGACCATTGGTAGTTTGTATTGTTGTCATGGCCTCAGTGACAGTTTGTATTGTTGTCTTGGCCTCAGTTGTGGTTTGTTGTGTTGTCATGGCCTCACTTGTAGCTTGTTTTGTTGACATGGGGTCATTGGTAGTTTGTGTTGTTGTCATGGCCTCAGTGGTAGTTTGTTTTGTTGTCTTGGCCTCAGTTGTGGCTTGTTTAGTTGTCATGGCATCTGTGGTAGCTTGTTGTGTTGTCAGAGCTTCAGTTGTACTTCCCTTAGTGGTTGTTTGTGGTGTCTTTGTTGTAGTTGGGATGTATGTACATGTATAAGTTATCTTTTCATAATTGTACAGATTTCTACCATTGCATTTTGCTGCAGAATTTGTACCCGGTATAGCTCGCAAATTGTTGCAGATTTGCCTTCCATTACAATTTGTTTTTATTAGTACTGGTCGATCATTATTGCTTGGAAGTACATCTTTGCAGATTGGTGTGCCAGATAAACAATCACCTGTTTGTCCAACTCCATGCTCATTGGATATGACATTTATCTCATATCCTATGTCACAAGTTAAATTGAAAGTTTCACTTCTACATCTGCGATCAGATTTCTCAATGCTAGCTCCTTTATATGCACCCACACTTTCTGAAATTAAGTAAAATATTTGTTAAAATGTTTTGGTCAGAAGAGAAGAATCTTTTTCATTCTTTTACCCCTGTTCATAACAATGCTAGAAACAATAAAATAAGTCCACCAAGTAAAGTTACTCTGGTTGGTTGAATTGAAAAATATTCGAAACTTGAGCATTTAAATTGCCCAAAACAATCACATATTTGAATTGATTATAGATGCTAAAATTTCATTTCCATAGAAATATTGTTCAATGAACTCTTTACTTTTCTCAAAAGCTTCAATAATAATCTGATAAAATTCTTTTCATAAATCAATCAATTTTTAGAACAGAATTGTTTAATTTTGTTTTATTATTTATCTTAACAAAAATGTGATTGTAAAAAGTTGTTTTTCATATTAGAATAGATGTAACAAAATCGTGATCAATAAAAATCATAATAAATTAAAACAACTACCAATTTCTTTTTTTAACACTATTTCATTTTTTGTATTTCAGATATAATCCTAACAAGAAAGAAAAAAAATTCTTACCTCCCTTCACCCCTGTAGGATTGAGTATGAGAAACAGGGACACAAGTATCAACTGAGAAAAACAAGAATCCATGGCTGAATTCCATATGCAGTAAATGTGTCAACCTTGTGTAGGTATTATGTCCAATTGGAGATGTATTACATTCAAATAACAAAATCCAGTAAAACCTGTGAAGTGGAGCACCTCTGAAAGTGGACCATGTGTGGAATATCTGACATTGTTTGGAACACTTTCCAGAGTCCTTTTACCTATTAATTTAATGTACATGAATTAATTTAATGTATATTAACCTATGTTAACAGAACACCTCCCAAATGAAAAAATCATTTTGGGGTATCATCAAAAGCACCGTTTACACAGGTTTTACTGTAATCTTAGATATGATTCAAGTTTTGTGCTGCAATCTTATCAAAATACAGGGCGAGGAAGTTTATAGATAATTCATTCAGAGTTGCCCCTCAATAAGAAAGTTTAAAGATAATAATGTTGCCCCTGATGAATTTAATATTGTAATGATAACAAGCATAATAGATACTCATGTTGCATATAACTGTGACTTTGGTATTTGTAAATAAACAAACTGATAATCCAAACTTATTACAAGTCATGTATTAGGTTATATTGTTATTGTAGAAAATGTATGCCCTACCTAATATACGAGGTGTGCCCTACCTTACAGTCAAGATATGCCCCACCTTACATACAAGGTATGTCTTACCTAACATGTGTTCGGTGATCAGTGTTTGGCATTCGGTGGCCAGTGTCTGTAAAAAATTACAATGTAGTTTTGTCAGTTTGTCATGTTAATGTCTTGTTCATATTTTGTGAAAAGGGTCAAATCTTTGAATTGCTTATACAATAACGCAGGTGCGAGTAGGTAGTTACCAGTTTCACCACCACGTGGCTCGTTCAGGTCAGATAGCATGGCGGTTTTAGTAAAAAGTTCCTTTTAACTAAAATTACATCTGTTTTAGTGGTTCGGTATTCATATAACTCTTATGTATCTAACAGTAATGCAAATTAAAATATGTCCAGTAAAGGAAAATTTTATCTGTCCAATACAAGAAAAGATATGTCACTTTTTGTGATTTTGTAACATGGGGTCTATGAGGAATCAACCTGAACTAGAAATCACATTTTCAAAAAAAAATTAAATTTTCAAACTTGATAAACAATTTTCGAAACCATATTTCTAGATGAATATTTAATGACATAAATCAAGACAAAATGCAAAGAAATTGTTCAAAGACAATGTCTATTTTTTAATCTTTTTTTATTCAAAATTAATAAAGCAAAGTAGGAAATGGTTTCAAATTCTATTTTATCCATTTTATTTCATTTCAGTGACTTTGATAGAAGATGATAGAAATCTGGAATCTGAAACCACAGGACACAAAACAAAATGATGTAAAGAACAATCTAAGTCAATGGGTGATAGCCTACATGGCGGAGCTTCAACATAGTGAACAATCAATTGTGAAATAGCATAGGAATAACCAACAGTATGGTGAAACATAACATAGGAACAATTAATTGTAATGGAAACAATCAATAGTGAAAACAATATTGGAACAATCAATAGTGAAACACAACCCAACAACAATCAATGGTGATACAATGTCATGACATAGGAACAATCAATAGTTAACACAACAAAGGAACAATCAATGGTGATACAAGACATAAGAACAATCAAAAGTGAAACACAACATTGGAACAATCAATTGTGCTACATGACATAGGAACAATCAATTGTGAATCTCAATGTAGGAACAATCAATAGTGAATCACATCATTGGAACACAAGCCAAAGAACAATCAATGGTGAAACACAACATATGGACAACCAATAGGAACAATCAATCTTGAATCTCAATATTATATAGGAATAATCGATAGTGATTTCCAAAATTTTGTAACTTGATTTATGCTTAATATAAATAATACGAAATATTAAAATTTGTTTAGTTTGACTTGATATATATAACCTCTGCCCTTACATGAACTAGATGTTGGCTATCCTGTTTGACCTTGATTTTGATGGCACCCGACCTCTCTAAAAGTGACTTGGGCTCATTATCAATAATCAAATACATGACATTGAAATTATACACAAATAACATGACAGTCAAAATTGGTGATAGTGTTTTGATGACATTGCAGGCAAGGTCAATATTTCAATGTTTCAACATACATGAATAATTAGTTGCAATTTAGATTAACCTTCCACCCCTCAGAAATTGAATTGAAAAGATTATGATCATGCTAAAATACAACTGAGCTTAATTGTTAAACTGTTTGCTGACAGAAGATTTAAAATAAGATAAGCTATCACTGTCTATTCTAGTCTAAAATACCACTAGGCAGAGTGTTCTATTTTACTATTCTCTTTGGGAAGAAAGTAAGAGTTTTATGCCCCCTCTCCCAATAGTTATTGTTTCAATTTGTTATGTCACCACCAAAAGTGGTGACATATTGTTATGGTCTCCGTTTTTTTGCGACGGCAGTTGGTGGTTGGCGTCCGGCGGTTGGTGGTTGGCGTCCGGCGGTTGGCGTCCGGCGTCTGTAACAATTTCTTACAACTTCCTATAACTTAACAAATACTGTTTAGATGGACTTCATTTTTTTTCTAAATCATCTACATGTTCTCAGAAGTTCAAATCTGACTTTAGATTTGACATTTGACCTTCAATGACCTTCTCAAGGTCAAAAAGGTCTTTTTTCAACTTGCTTCACATTGACTAAATTTTTTTTCAAAATCATCTACATGTTCTCAGAAATTAAAATCTGACTTTAGATTTGACATTTGACCTTCAAATCTGACTTTAGATTTGACATTTGACCTTCAATGACCTTCTCAAGGTCAAAAAAGGTCAAAAAGGTCTGTTTTCAACTTGCTTCAAATTGACTAAATTTTTTTTTCAAAATCATCTACGTGTTCTCAGAAATTCAAATCTGACTTAAGATTTGACTTAAGATTTGACATTTGACCTTCAATGACCTTCTCAAGGTCAAAAAAGGTCAAAAAGGTCGGTTTTCAACTTGCTTCAAATTGACTAAAAAAAATTTTCAAAATCATCTACGTGTTCTCAGAAATTCAAATCTGAATTTAGACTTGACTTAAGATTTGACATTTGACCTTCAATGACCTTCTCAAAGTCATAAAAGGTCAAAAAGGTCTTTTTTCAACTTGCTTCAAATTGACTAAATTTTTTTTTCAAAATCATCTACATGTTCTCAGAAATTCAAATCTGACTTTAGATTTGACCTTCAATGACCTTCTCAAGGTCAAAAAAGGTCAAAAAGGTCTGTTTTCAACTTGCTTCAAATTGACTAAATTTTTTTTCAAAATCATCTACGTGTTCTCAGAAATTCAAATCTGACTTAAGATTTGACTTAAGATTTGACATTTGACCTTCAATGACCTTCTCAAGGTCAAAAAAGGTCAAAAAGGTCTGTTTTCAACTTGCTTCAAATTGACTAAATTTTTTTTTCAAAATCATTTACATGTTCTCAGAAATTCAAATCTGACTTTAGATTTGACATTTGATCTTCAATGACCTTCTCAATGTCAAAAAAGGTCAAAAAGGTCTGTTTTCAACTTGCTTCAAATTGACTAAAAAAAATTTTCAAACTCATCTACGTGTTCTCAGAAATTCAAATCTGACTTTAGATTTGACTTAAGATTTGACATTTGACCTTCAATGACCTTCTCAAAGTCAAAAAAGGAACAAAGGTCAAAAAGGTCTGTTTTCAACTTGCTTCAAATTGACTAAAAAAATTTTCAAAATCATCCACGTGTTCTCAGAAGTTCAAATCTGACTTTAGATTTGACTTAAGATTTGACATTTGACCTTCAATGACCTTCTCAAAGTCAAAAAAGGTCAAAAAGGTCTTTTTTCAACTTGCTTCAAATTGACTAAATTTTTTTTTTCAAAATCATCTACATGTTCTCAGAAATTCAAATCTGACTTTAGATTTGACATTTGACCTTCAATGACCTTCTCAAGGTCAAAAAGGTCTGTTTTCAACTTGCTTCAAATTGACTAAATTTTTTTTTCAAAATCATCTACGTGTTCTCAGAAATTCAAATCTGACTTAAGATTTGACTTAAGATTTGACATTTGACCTTCAATGACCTTCTCAAGGTCAAAAAAGGTCAAAAAGGTCTGTTTTCAACTTGCTTCAAATTGACTAAAAAATTTTTTCAAAATCATCTACGTGTTCTCAGAAATTCAAATCTGACTTTAGATTTGACTTAAGATTTGACATTTGACCTTCAATGACCTTCTCAGAGTCAAAAAAGGTCAAAAAGGTCTGTTTTCAACTTGCTTCAAATTGACTAAATTTTTTTTCAAAATCATCTACATGTTCTCAGAAATTCAAATATGACTTTAGATTTGACATTTGACCTTCAATGACCTTCTCAAGGTCAAAAAAGGTCTTTTTTCAACTTGCTTCAAATTGACTAATTTTGTTTTCAAAATCATCTACATGTTCTCAGAAATTCAAATCTGACTTTAGATTTGACATTTGACCTTTAATGACCTTCTCAAGGTCAAAAAAGGTCAAAAAGGTCTGTTTTCAACTTGCTTCAAATTGACTAAATTTTTTTTTCAAAATCATCTACATGTTCTCAGAAATTCAAATCTGACTTTAGATTTGACATTTGACCTTCAATGACCTTCTCAAGGTCAAAAAGGTCTGTTTTCAACTTGCTTCAAATTGACTAAATTTTTTTTTCAAAATCATCTACGTGTTCTCAGAAATTCAAATCTGACTTAAGATTTGACTTAAGATTTGACATTTGACCTTCAATGACCTTCTCAAGGTCAAAAAAGGTCAAAAAGGTCTGTTTTCAACTTGCTTCAAATTGACTAAAAAATTTTTTCAAAATCATCTACATTTCTCAGAAATTCAAATCTGACTTTAGATTTGACTTAAGATTTGACATTTGACCTTCAATGACCTTCTCAGAGTCAAAAAAGGTCAAAAAGGTCTTTTTTCAACTTGCTTCAAATTGACTAAATTTTTTTTTCAAAATCATTTACATGTTCTCAGAAATTCAAATCTGACTTTAGATTTGACATTTGACCTTCAATGACCTTCTCAATG